ACTTGAAATCAATGTTTACTCTGGCCTGCATACAGGTCTGCTTAAAAGACTTCATCAAAACACCCCTTTCAGAACATACAACAGCCTCTCTGCAGCACTGGAAGATAACATGGAGAGCAAAGTATTTTAAATTACACCTAACAACACTTCAGTATACTACAATTTTCACTTTCAAAAGTAATCAAGTAGCTTTGAAATGTATTGAAGCAGGTAAAAAGGAGAATATAAAGTAAGCTTTGCATGTAAATAGTGAACATTTGGAAGGCTTTTTTAAGCTTTAGCAAAGTAAAAAAAAATTTAAGTAAAAAAATCATTTATAGCACATATAGAAAATTGTATAGATAGCTAAATAAGAATTAAATATTGAGATGTGAATTAATATAGAAATTTGACAGAATAACACCATAAAAGATGGAATGATGAGAATGAAGAAAAAGGAAGGGAGGGAGGGAGGGGGGGAGGGAAGGAGGGAGAGAGGGAGGGAGGGGGAAGGAACGAAGGAATGAAGGAACGAAGGAATAAGGTTCACTATGCACTATGTAAAAATCTGAACAAAGCTGAAAGCATTTGTTTTTAATAAAGGCTTATTACTCCATAACACTAGAAGTTACAAAGATAACCTATGAACAGAGAAACACATTTATACCAATGACACCACCAGAAATAAAATATAGGGGCTAAAGAGATGGGTCAGTAGTTAAGAGCACTGTCTTCTTTTCCAGAAGACCGGGGTTCAATTCACAGCAGCTACATGGCAACTCACAACTGTCTGTAACTCCAATTCCAGAGATCCAATGCACTCTCTGGCCTCCTCATGCATTAGGTACATAAATGGTGCACAGACATACAGGCAGGTAAAATGCCCACACACATAAAAATAAATCTTTTACCAAAACCATCTTAGGTAATCTAACTGCTGTAAACTAAGGAACCATAAGCAGAGAGGAGAACTTACTGTAACATGTGCTGTTTATATAACTATGAAAATAATCACATGGTGGTGATTTCATCTTGTGGTCATCATTAGCAACTAAAGCAAAAGCAAAATCTGTTGACATGTGAAGACAACTCATAGGTTCAATAAGAGCATTCAATAAAAACCTTATAAGATGAACTCTCATAAACCACACAGCATTTCTGGTATAACCACAGCTAAATTCATTGGCTCTACAAAACTTCTTACTTTGAGCCACCGTAACAACTGCCCAGATCAGCTTATTCTAGGACATGAGCCTGCACAATCAACACAGGATGAAGTATGACTTCCATATCCACACCTCGCTTCTGTCACCCACTGCTGAGTAGCAAACCACACCAACACGCAGCAGCCTAACAGTTGTTTTGCTGCTGGTCTCCCAGGTTCAATCATGCAGTTGCACTAAAATATCCAACGTGGTTTCAGGCAGTTGGATCGTTTACATGATACTTGGCTCCAAAGACAGAAGTGAAAAAAATGACAGGCCTCTAAGACTGTAGCCCAGAAATCCTAAACAATTATCTAAATGGTATCCATTAGCCAGTGAAGCAGGCCAGTCCCGTCTAGAGAAGGCAAGTGGTTACTAGTTCTGATGGGTAAGAAAAATGGCAATGACCATGAAAACCTCCAGTCATATTCATTTAAGCATGACTTTATGGTAGTTTCTTACTCAGTAACACAGCACAGGAAAATAAGCTGTCTTGTCAATATCAGACCTGCTTTTGTACAAGAACGATATTTTATATAACAAATATACATAATAGCAAGGACTGTTAGCTTAATTTGAACAAATCTGTACATGAAATCCAAATGAAACATTACTATATCTTCATGCACAATAAAGGGCCCTTGGAACTGCTTTATGAGCTGTCTTAAATACATACAAGTGCTAAATTTCCTTAGTGCATGGCTGTGTTGGGGATAGAGGTTGAAGGTAGGTGTTTTCCTCTATCTTTACCTTATTTTTTGAGATGTAGTCTCTCTCTGGACCCAGAGCTCATTGGTCTGGATAGACTGGCTAGCCAGCAAGCCCTATCCGTCTATCCCTGTGCTCCAGCACTGGGTTACAGACTTGTACCAGCACACCAAGCTCTTCACAGAGGTGATGATGGGGTGTACAAGTCGGGTCCTCACGCTCATGCAGCAAAAATTTTACTCACAGAGTGATCACCCCACCTTAACAAAATAACCTAACAATATAAAAATTAAAATCACTATGTTCTTAAAACCGAAGTGCTCAAAAACAGTGATTCCAGGCAAATGCTGGCTTTACAAACTAGATTAATATTAAAAGTTCTATTATTGCACAAAGATCCACAAAGTTACTAATAATACAACTTCATGTCAAAACATCTCTCCCTAGAAGATAAAATGAGGACATAAACTAACAGGACAAAAAGTCAACGGGTTTTTTGACTTGCAATTCATCCTCTTGTCATCTATCTTATTTTACAGTTTTGATGATGTTTCCAAATTCTAAGATACTGATTTGGAGGCTCTGGACATGGAAAATTCCTGGAACTCCAAGTTACATTTTCACTCACCATTACAGGTACCTTTAAAAGCATTTAACAAGTAAGAAATACTAAGTTTAATACTATTTACAAGAATTGAAATAACAGAAACCTACATTTGGAATGTAGTAGGTCAGCAGTACTACACAGAATCCTAAATTCAAGTTGACAATTTACAAAGTTATTTGCTTCCAAATGTATTACTTCTTGGAACATTACTCATATATTTAGTATATGCACTTTTGTTGTATATATGTGTGTACACATTTGCCATGGTGTGCATGTGGAGGTCAGAGTTCCCCTGGCAGGAGCCACATCTTTCCTTCTACCATGTGGGTCCTGAGGACTGAACTCTAAGACAGCATGAGAGAGTGAAGTGTCTGTCTCTGCTGAACTCTCTCCCACTGGTCCTCTCTTTTCTTTTCATTTTGTCTTTCAAGGCACTGTCTTACTATGTAGTCCTAGATGGCTTAGAACATATGCATTGTGCAGCCCAGGCTGGCCTCAAACTGAGAGTATTCTTCTTACCTCAAGTGCTGGGATTACAGATGTGTACTATCGTACATTTTAAATTCTTCTTATAGTTATACCACTATTCACACTTTTAACAACAAACAGCTCCATGCCCTACTGTAAAAGCAGTAACCATAAGCAGAACTCTTCAATTAAACCCAACAGCTTCCTATACCATAACCCTGTCCTGCTTCCTTTAATGTCCTATCAGCTGTCAGCTCCCTCAGTCATGTCTCTAGATCTTCCTTCCCTTCCTTCCATTTGACATAGCATTCCTTAAACTAGTAAGTTTTTTTCCTTTTTTTATTTGGAGGGGGGGCCTCTGTGTAGCCCTGGCTGTCTTGAAACTCACTCTATAGATCACAGAAATCAAAATCAGAGATCACGATTGCTGGGATTAAAGGCATACTCCACCATGCCTGGCTCTCAAACCAGTAACATTTTAATGTTGACTTTCCACTTTTAATTTTATGGAAGAATTACATATTTTCCCCCAATTTCCTGACTTTTCAAATGGCTTCCCTCAGGATTCATGATTCCAAAAACATATCAAAAATACTAGGAAGAAATTCCCATTTGTAAATACTAGTCTTCATGTTACCTTTGTTCAATTAAAAAAGAAAAAAAGGACACAATTGAGTTTTTTTTAAGATTTATTTACTTTTATTTCATGTGTACAAATGTTCTGCCTAGACATATACACATATACCATGTGCATACCTGGCCCCTGGAAAGGCCAAAGAGAATGTTCAGTCCTCTGGAACTGGAGTTATACATGATTGAGAGCCTGCATGTGGGTGCTGAGAACGAAACCTGGGTCCTCTGGAAAAGCCAACAGTGCTCTTAACTACTCAGCTATACAGTCCCTAGGACAATTTTCAAAAAATAAAATATGTCCCTGAGCAATATTCTTAAATGCAATAAAACTAGGAAGTGCTAGTTGGAAAATCTGGGGTTTGATTCCTAGCACCTCAAAATAATGGGGGGGGGGGGGCAGTCCTGGATTCTTCAGTTAAAAAAAGATATCATAGCTAGCGGAGAAGCTCACATCTTTAATCCCAGCGCTTGGGAGGCAGAGGCAGGCAGATTTTGAGAGTTTGAGGCCAGTCTGCTCTACATAACAAATTCCAGGCCAGCTACGACTGTATTAGACCCTGTCTTCCAAAAAAGGGACATACTTATTATGCATCAAAATAATTCAAAAGGAGATGGAAGTGGAGTTAGAGAATAGGTAAGAGAAGATAGATAAATAACTGCAGAGTGGTGGGCACACCGGGATCCCAGTGAACTGCTTTTATTTTTGCATGTTTTTAAGCTGTTTCACATTGCTAAAATAAACAAACAAACAAATAAATAAACAGATCCTACTTATAGCCAGGACAGGTCTTTTCAGTGTCTAATTATTCTTCCTGACCCCTTACTTACAAACATCTCTCACTGAATTCTGTGTGTATCCATCACACCTACTCCCCATTTGAGCCCCTCCTTCCTTCCTCTTCCACTCTGGAAGAAAACCCCACATCCTTGTTGGCCATTCATCAACCACTCTATGACCCAGTTTCATACTAAGATTCCCCAGCATCACCTGAATTACATATCTTAAGAGGGAGATCCCCCCTCTCATCTCCACACATCTCAGAGCTAAGTACCACACAGTGAAGCAGACGGAAATGGTGGTCACAGTGGCAGAGAAGTCTGTTCCTCTGCAGTTCCATACCAGCACTTAGGCAATATCAATGGGCTTCACTAAAGAGACTCTCACAACTATTTTTTAAAAGGAAATTGCAAACTGTACTTAAATGTCACACTAATGCCAAGAGATCCCGTCAGCACAGGGAGGCTGTGATTCTTCAGAAAGAACTTATGAACAAACAAAAAGTCTCCTTAATAACCCATCCCCACCTCTACACACTCCAAATCCTATGCCCCAGATGTACATTTTACTGAAAATTTATCTTCTATAATGAAAATGGGCACAGGTATAAAACAGACATTACCTTGTATCTCATCTTGGGACAGGAATGAATGTAGAAACCCATATAGTAATAGCTGAGTTGTGATGTTTTCTCATGCAGTTGTCGAGTAAAAGCAATTTCTCTGCCAAAAAAAAAAAAAAAAGAGGTAACCATACAGTTAATTCTGATTTCAATTTTCAAAAAATCTATGTAATTCAATAAAATCTAATGCAAAAGTATCAAAATACCAACTCTTTGTGTGTTTTTGAGGCAGGGTTTTTCTGTTTATCTCTGACTGTCCTGGAACTCACTCTGTTGCCCAAGCTGGCTTCAAACTCAGATCTGCCTCCCTCAGTCTCCTGAGTGCTGGGACAACCATCATGCCCAGCAAGAAAAATGACTTTTAAAAACATTAGATAATTATGAAAGGAGATACCCCAAAACCTCTAAACTATTTTGAATAAACACAACTAAGTTGAGATTTTATTTTTTATTGGGCAAAAGAGCTGAACTACAACCAACATAACATGAAAATAAAGGTATCTATAATATTATTCAGTATGCTCTAGATGTGCAAGACATCTGGGCTACTTTAACAGCACAAAATTTTAAAACTTAATAACTAATACATGTCAGGAAAAATTATATATGCATTCACACACAAGCCTTTTAACTGTATGTGATTCACAAGTCACTGTTAGCTAGGACCACAGTTTATACACACAGTTTCCTTAAAATAAGAGAGACAATACCACATTGTCCCTTCATGCCTTATTCATTTGTTAGCAGGGATGAGGACTGCTGAAACAAAAGAAACTAAATCTTCACTGAAATGCCTATGTGTGAAGTGGTTGTAATTTGTATTAAGATAAATCTTGGCACAAAATTTCCCCTACTTGTCCAGCTGAATAAACAGGGCATATATGAGAGTTTTAATAAATTTAAATTTCTAAAGTAGGAAGAATGGTGGTTTTATCTTTTGAGAGTTTTCTTCCTTGCTATTTTTTTTTAATAGCAGCAATGGATATATAAAATTCAAGGTTTTGTCTTGTTCTGTTAGAGAGGCCTTCTTTACATAGTATAGCCTATCCCAGAACTTGCTACAATAGCCCAGGTTGACCTCAAAACTCTCATCCTATCTCAGCCTGAGAATACAAGCATATGCCACCTTGTCCAGTAGAGAAATTCTATGTTTAAAGGACTCCTCTATTCATTTCTCTAGTACAAATCTAAATTGTTGAAAGGTTATCCAAAAACTATTTAAAATGTTTCTATACAGAATAAATGTTACTATTCCTAGAACTAATCTATTTTCAAGACTCAAACTGAGGAAAGAATCGGCAAATTCAACAGCCCTACACCCACCCATACTCAATAACTCTTGACCACACCCAGCTAGTATAGATGGCACTTGGTTTCTTCGACCTTTGTATTTCAGATCACTACACTACTACTTACTCAAATCCATGAGCCATCCTCAAAACCAGTCCAAACAAGTTCCTGGGCTATCTCCAAAATGCAACCTGAATTTGACCACCTCTCATTACCTCTATGTAAGATATTCTAGTCTTTAAATTATTTTCTAAAAACCACAATTAAATATATAGGAAAAAGGACTGTCAGAGAGCAGTTAAAAACACTATATAATTCTAAATCTGTTATTGACACATTATTATTAAGAGACTGTCAAGATGGGCACTGAGATATAGGCAAAAGATGACTATCAGGCCAATTTGTAAAATTCAAATTGATAATTTAAAGAAGAGCATCAAGGCTTCTACTTTGATAATTCAGGAAAATAATACATATACAAAACCCAAGATAATCTGGCAGTACACTTCATAATGGTGTAAGAATGTGACTATAAGACACAAATACTGGGGAACACAATGAGAAAAGCAGAGGGAAAGAGATTCAAGCTACCTGAAAAACAAAAATAAACCAGTTTCCAAATCTCTTCCTTCAAGTTGTACTGCACACATGTATAGATAAGTAGGAGTATGAACAGAAATAAATATTCCATAGAAGATATTCCCACCATTAAAGACATTTGTGCTGTGTGACATATATCTGCAGCTATGGCCATAAATGGGACATTGTTTTCTGAGGAGGGTCACAGATACCAGCGAATAGTTGATAACTCCACACTGCTAATTTGTATACCTAGACAATGCTTCATGGCACTGTTGCAGTCAGGAGCAGACCAAACATGTAAGTGGTTTCATAAGATTGCTAATGACACCATATCTTCTTAGTCTGTGGGTATATGCACATATATGTGTTCATAAAACCACATAAGTGCCTAATGATATGCATGTCATAATATGGCCCTTTCCTTACAAACTTCCTAACTCCATAATTGCATTTCTTTCAGCAGATGTACATGCCTTTAATTCATTCACACCACATTAGCTGCATCTTTACTCTAGTGTTAATAATACAGATACTTTTATATTTATAGAGCATAAATAAGCTCTGGCAGGGGAGCTTAGGAAATACCTACATGAAACAAACATCTCCAAGCATGTGGTTTCCTTTTGAAAAATGTATTTATTATTATTCTGGTGTATGATGGGGGTGGAGGGAATAGACATGGCATGGCCTCTTTAGAGTCAGTTCTATCCCAGGACCTTTATATGAGTTCTGGAGATGAAACTCAGGATATCAGGCTTACCCAGAAATCACTTTACTTGCTAAGCCATCTCACAGTGGTTTCTTATACTCAAGAATATACAGAAGCTAGAGGATTGTGACTGGATAGCTCAGAGGTTAAGAGCATTAGCTGCTCTTTCAGAGGTCCTGAGTTCAATTCCCAGCAACCATATGGTGGCTCACAGCCATCTGTAATGAGATCTAGTACACTCTTCTGGTGTGCAGGTGTACATGAAGGCTGAACACTATATAAATAAATAAATCGAAAAAAAAAAGCTAGGGGATTAACATCAACAATGGCATCATTTGTACAGCTGTTACTTTTTTGAGAAAAGTTTATTTTATTCTCTCCCCAAACCATGTCCCTTCCCACTGTGTGTGTGTGTGAGTGTGTGTGTGCCCACACTCGAGCACACATGTTACATGCAAATTCCTATACAGGCCAGAATAAGCTCAGTAGGATTCCCTGGAGCTGGTGGCTGTCAACAGCTAGATGTGGGTGCTGGCAACTGAATTCCTGTTCTCTGAAAGAACAGGAAGTGCTTTTAACTGCTGAGCCATCTCTCCAGCCTCCTAAAACTGTGACTTTTAAATATTAATATATAGCAGAGAGACTACTGTAGCAGCAAATTATTATAACATACTATCAAAAGCAGATTTCTACCATTGCATACTGAAATATAAACAAATTGAGTAATCATCTGACCCTCCATGAAATTCATTACAACTCTATAAAGCAGTCTTACCTTAATGCTGAATACACACCCAAAGACAGAAATGAATAATCGGGATCGTAGTACAGATACACAGAAGACACACAGTATGGGAGGATGTCTATCACACCCACAGCAATGATCTTCCCATCAAGCCAGTACTGCTGGTGAAAGGAGCCATAACCACATTCCGGTCCATTAGCAGGGTGTTCTGCCTATGAAAAAGTAGGCACAGAAACATCAACAGACAGTCATTTTCTTTATATTAAAATGATCTCTTAATCTAAGTAATCTTTTATTTTGTTCAGGTTAATAGGTTCTAAAATTTTGCTTCATTGTGACCCCCTTCCAGATAATGATTGATTTAGCATGAAAAGCTGATTTGCAAAAAAAAAAAAAAAAAAAAAGGATGGAAAGGAAAGAGGGAAGGGAAGAGGAATGAAGAGAAAGGGAAGGAAAGGAAAAGAAATTGGAGGGGGGGGACGAAAGGGAGAAAGGCAAATAATGTGATCCACCTCATTCACAGGACTACAAAAGGAAAACAATGTGATACATTAATCAGTGCAGGAAATATATGACACATTCCAACAGCTGACCAAAACTTGTAACAAGTGACAGCAAAGAGACTTCTTGAGCGGTCTAATAACATATACAAAACCCACACTTAACAGCACAGTTAATATTCAGAAACTAGATGCTTCCCTTTCCTTCTCCACTTAATATTATGAACACAGCTAACTCTATTCAGTATGATTTGACATCCCAGATAATACAGTACAATGGGGAAGGGAATAAAGGAGTTGTGGAAGTAGACCAGTGGTCAGGTGCTGGCCTCGCATATGCAAGTCCTGAGGGTGAAGGGGTGGGAAGGGAAGGAAGAAAATAAAGAGAGGAGGAATGGGGGAGGAGAAGAGAAAAGAGATGGAAAGGGGATTAATCCAGAGTGAAGAACAGAAAAATCAACTGTCTTTATAGATAACATGACGGTAACAAAATCCAAAGAACAAAGAGAAAAACTAACTACAGCAAAGACTAGAATGAAAGGTTAAGATGTGAAATTCTAGAACATAAAATGTGAAACAGAATGAAAAAAGCTAAGTTTAAAATTTACATGTACAGCATCTATACACTGCAAAGCAGCGAACATCTATGAAGGGAATCAAAGAAGACCCAAATAAATGGAACAACACGCCTTTCTTGACTAAAACTGTTACAATCCCAGTTCCTCTCAAATTGCTGCAAAACAGTATAATCCCAATCAACACTGCAACAAGCTGTTTTACGAGTATGAACAAATTCATTCATAAGTTAGACATGAAAGAAAAGGCTCAGGGCACCCAACTCTACTGAGGAATGAAGACAGTGTAGTTGTCTTGATGGAACAATAAACAGACAAATCAGACTAAGCAAGCCCACAAAATCACAGTAACCTCTAACAAAGAGTAAAAGCAATTCAATAGGGAAAGTAGGTCTCCACAAACAACAGTGTTCAACAGCTGGACATTCACATGTAAACCAGGCATCAGATAAACCTTCAATAATAGTGAGCTCAAAATGGAGCACAGACCCACATGTCAAATTCAGTACTAGGAAACTTCTACCTAGACAAAGGCATTTGGAAGAGAAAATCTGGGTGATCATGGCTTTGTTAATGAATTTTCAGATACAGCATCAAAAACAAAAATCCATGAAAAAAGATAGTTGTTTGCAGTTATTAAATTCATTTAAAACTTCTGCTCTACAGGAAATGTTAAGGAAACAAAGTCAAGGCACAGAACATATATTACAGGATATACTTAATATAACATAAAAGCTTTAAGATTCATCCATAAGAAACTAAACAACCAAATTAAAAATGGACAAAAGATCTGAACACATGCTTTATCAGAAATACAGAAAGAAAGCACCTAATCATAAGGAACAATGCTCACCATCACCACAGATTTGCACACAGAACATCAAGCACTCCTACATATCAGAGGACCAAACCCCACAGGCTGGACATCAAATGACAGGAGAGATGCAGAGCAATAGGAAGTCATGTTGGGAAGGTAAAGCAGTTACAGGCACTTCACAAACTTCTCACAAAACTAAACGAACTCTGAGCATAAAGAAACAGCAATCACACTCTGTAGTTACTTAACCATTTGGTTTGAAAACTTACCTAAAGACAAAGCCTCACAAGATGTTTATAGCATCTATTCCTAACTGGCCAAAACCAGAGCAACTCAGACATCCCTCTTCAAGACACAGATGGATAAACTTGGGTTCATCCCTATAATGTATTATTGACGAAATTCACACACACACACACACACACACACACAGAGAGAGAGAGAGAGAGAGAGAGAGAGAGAGAGAGAGAGAGAGAGAGAGAGAGAGAGAGAGAGAGAGAGAGAGAGAGAGGGAGAGAGGGGAGAGAGGGGAGAGAGGAGAGAGAGAACTTTAAATGCATATTGCTAAGTGAAAAATGCCAGTCTGCATCCTGTATAGTTACAATTGCAGTGGATAAAAGGCAGAAGTATGCAGTTTACTCCATATTATCAGGAGTTTGAGAGGTCTAGGTGAGGGATTAATAGATCCTTTAGGTGATGAGACTATTCTGTACAATATAATAGCCAAGACACCATACTAAGCCCTTTTTATCAAAACTCAGCACTTTATTATTTATTTGTTTTGGTTTTTCAAGACAGGATTTCTCTGTATAGCCTTAGCTGTCCTAGACTCGCTCTGTAAATCAGGCTGGCCTCAAAATCACAGAGATTCACTTGTCTCTGCCTCCCAAGTGCTAAGATAAAAGGCATGCACCACCATTGCCCAGTTAGACAGAGAAAAGGGGTGAAATAAGCAAGTCTTGAAATGAAAGAGGTCTATAGAGATGAAAACAAAAAGAAGTACGTCCAAAACTCTACTCTGATAAAACTGCTTCCCATGGGGGTACAGGTTAACAATTCTGACACTGCTGTATATGTAACAAACAATTAAGCAAACAGAGCATATGGTAGGGTTTTCAGTGCTGTGACTAGAGTGATCCAAGTGATGATGGATTATAGTTGAAAATGTGAAAACTCATGCTTGGCTTGATATAAACACAGATGGTTTCACACAGAAATGTGCATACTATAAGTATGTGCATACTCAAGAGTAACTGTACACACGCATTTCTTTTTCTGTCAGCTAAAAGGACCTAAAAGAAACACCCCAAGAGAAATGAGCACACCCTGCTGCCAAGATCTTGGTACGTTTTCTGCAATCAAAGGAACTAGTGCTAGGAGAAGTGGCTGACTTTAGGACTGCACAGGAAATATACAAAATGAGCTTACTGGATCTCAGTGTCAGAGAAGTAGTACTCAAACAACCAACCCACACACAAAGAGGCATGGGAGGGGAACTCAAAGAGCTAATTCACTACTGAACTATTTTAAGCAACAAAATAAAAGCAATCTATAATCCCAAGTATAAAATCTATTCACCCATGGAGAAATGGCTTAGCCGTTAAAGGCTAGGCTCACAAGCAAAATTATAAAATCTATGCACCCTGGGGCTGGAGAGATGGCTCAGAGGTTAAGAACACTGGCTGCTCTTCCAGAGGTCCTGAGTTCAATGGCTCACAACCATCTACAATTCAATCTGGTGCCCTCTTCTGGCATGTAGGCAGAACACTGTATATGTAATAAATAAATCTTTACAAAAAAACCTATGTACCCATACTACTATGTACCATTGAAAAACAGTAAAAGAACAGAGGAAAATCTCCCATGCAGAAAAATATCAAATTTACATAGACATTATTCCCTGAAATCAAGGGACAGGCATAAGGCAGGCCCAGAGTTGTTTTCTTTTGTTTCCTTTTTGTAATTCAATTGTGTGGTTCTCTAGTGATAACTCTGTAGGTCATGACATCATCATGTAAGTCAATACATCAAAAGGTTAGACATGCCTCTCATTTTCCACTGTCATTTCAACCAGGTCAGAAAGAGCTAAGTCTTATAATAGCTCTCCCCACTCCAGGAAGCTCAGGAGCCCTTGCTAGAGAAGCACCCACAAGTACCACTGCTTACTGACTTGAGAATCCACTTCATTAAGATGTGGCTATCACGTCTTATACCTCACTAGTGATAGCCCTTTGTCAACTTGCTCAATTGTCACAAGCACAGAGGGAGGAAAAAACTACATATTGCATAGGAAAGCACACTATTTGGGAAAAAAGAAAGTGAAGGGCTATTTGCCTTAAAGTCAAAAACATAAATTGAAAGGTCTCAAACTTGATACTTGATGACCTCAAAAACCCCTTTATACTTAGAAAAGTAGAGAGTTCGTGTAATAGAATACATATACAGATATTTACCAACTAGAAGACAAAGTGAATTTTGTTTTTGGTTTTGTTTTGTTTTGTTTTTTTCAAGACAGGATTTCTCTGTATTGTTTTGGAGGCTGTCCTGGAACTCGCTCTGTAGACCAGGCTGGTCTCAAACTCACAAAGATTTGCCTGCCTCTGCCTCCCGAGTGCTGGGATTAAAGGTGTGCACCAGCAACACCTGGTACAAAGTGAAATTTTAAAATAGATCTAATAATTCACTTAAAAATAATAAATTCAATACATTTGATTCATTCTGTGATAAACACACAAAAAAACGAAAAACACTACACTTTACAAAATCAAAAAACAATAGATATGGAAAGTTGAATGGCTCTGGATTTTTTTTTAACAGATTTCTGTATTAGAAGATCACCCGATTCTCATACAGGTCTCTGTATTTTATCTGCTGCCATCATGGAACCTCTGGAAAACAGACTGTACACTCATGAAGTGAGAGTCAGGAGAGCTAACGTCATCACCACACTATGAAAACAGCACCGGTTTGAGGACCCTCTGACACATGCATCAATGCATGACTACAATCCTGTATCCTCAAAATACGAGGAGCCTTTTATAGGGTTCATACTAGTGTTTTCCCTCTATTTAAGTTTTCAGAAACAAAGGTAAGACACAAATAAAAGGAGACCAATGAGTAAGCTTAGGCCAGCTTTTGCTCACTCCGATTGGCACATTCCCAAAGTCAGCGTTTAAAGAATTACATTGTTAGGTCACTTAAAAGCAAAGTCATGTAACTACAGTAGCTACTTTCCTTATAAAGCAGTCAGTGATGGTATCAACAATATTTAATGTTTCTTTCCAAGTCTGCAGTTTGGATGTGTTAAGGAACTAATCTGA